AGGGCTTGCTCTCACATTCCACTTAGTTGGGTGCCATGCCCACAACCTTTGGAGAGCAGAAAACACAGTCTGGAGCGGTAAGCACTTAAAAAAAGTTAATTTTAGCTTTGTTGCCCTAAAAATGATGGTTTTTTTATTCTCTAAGCATTTCAACAGAGCTTTGAAGGTGCAGAGAAAGATTTTCAACAGTTTAACAGAAGATTTTGTCCCCTTAAAAAGAGCTGCAAAAGAGCCACTGCTGAGACACTTGCCTTCCCCAAGTCCACTTGGGAATCCAGCACAAAAAAGCTTCCTGCTCTTTTCTCCTCCAATCAAAGCTTCCAGGACCTCCTAGAAGCCAAATATTGGTTAAACCCCGCAGGTCTGTGCAAAGCACGACAACCCCACAGGAATCCCACTTCCAGAGGGCAGGGATAGATGGGATATTGGGAAGGAATTGTTCCCTGGGAGGGTGGGCAGCCCCTGGCACAGGGTGCCCAGAGCAGCTGTGGCTGCTCCTGGATCCCTGCAAGTGTCCAAGGCCAGGTTAGAGCCACCTTTCGCAGGGTTGTTGCTCCTGCTGGGTGACTCCTGAGAGGATCAATACAATTTTATCCTGTAAAGAGCAACCATCATTGCCAGAAAGATAAAAAACATTCCAGCTGTCCTGGCTGGTGCCACCTCAAGAGCCTTGGTTTTCTCAGGTGAGTGAATTACCTGACTCTGCTCCTGTTGTTGCTACAGCTTTGATCCAGCTCCAGTTTTAGCCTGGGATCAGCTGGGCTCAGTCCAGACAGGGAAATCACTGACACTCCTTTTTTCCAGAAATAAGGAAAACAGGCAACACTCCTCAGTTCTTATCTAATGGGCTTCTTAGAGCCAGCTGCCTCTAAAATTCACCTGATAAACTATACTGTTGTTTGGGCTCATCCAAACTTGAGGTTTAGCAGTGCTTTGTAATAAACGCAGGTCTTCCTCAGATTACAAACAATGGTAACTCAGCAACCTGGAATCATGGCATGGCTTCCCTTTCAAAGGGATCTTAAAGCTCAGGGCAAACCACACCCCTGTCATGGGCAGGGACACCTTCCACCATCCCAGGCTGCTCCAAGCCCCATCCAACCTGGCCTTGGACACTTCCAGGGATCCAGGGCCTCCCCACCCTCCCAGGGAACAATTCCTTCCCAATATCCCATCTATCCCTGCCCTCTGGCACTGGAAAGCCATTGCCCCTTGTCCCTCCATCCCTTGTACAGAATCTCTCTCCATCTTTCTTGTCAGCCCCTTTGGGCACTGGAAGGCCACAATTTGGTCACTCCAAAGCTTCTCCTCTCCAGGCTGAACAATCCCAGCCGTGCCAGCCTTTCCTCCCAGCAGAGCTGCTCCATCCCTCTGATCATCCTGGTGCCTCCCCTGGCCTCTCTCCAGCAGCTCCAGGTCCCTGCTGTGCTGGGCCCCAGGGCTGGGGCAGCTCTGCAGGTGGGGTCTCACCTGAGCACAGGGACAGAGGGGCAGAATCCCCCCCTCCCCTGCTGCCCACACTGGGGCTCAGCCCAGGGCATGGGGGGGCTCTGGGTCCCAGCTCTCACCCCCAGCACCCCCAGGTCCTCCTCCAGGGCTGCTCATTCCCAGCCTGGATCAATTCCATGGGTTGCCCTGACCCAAGGGGCAGCACCAGCACCTGGTCTTGTGAAACCCATGAGATTCCCATGGGCCACTTCTGGAGCTTGTCCAGCTCCCCCTGGGTGGCCCTGTCCTTCAGGAGAGTTTTAAAGTCACCACTTCTGCAGCAACATTTCTGGGGTGAGCAAGTTTGTGCAATTATTATTATCCCTAATTTTAACCTTTCCAATTACAACTGGCATTTACTGGAGTAAACTGCTGGAAAGTGGAGAAGCAATTTCCCAGCCACTGAGAGCATCACACAGAAAGAACTTGGGGACAACCACCACTGTGGCTGTCATGCACTGGGGACTCCTGTAAATATCAAGAGATATTCCCTTGGAATGTGTGACAGTTCCCAGGAAGCATTTCCATGGCCCAAACCAGCCCATTCCAACTGGGTGTTTTCACACCATTTGCTAAAAAATCACATTTCCTTTTTTCCAATCCGTTTTCCATTTTGCTGACTGTTTTCCAGGTTCTGGAAGGATTCAAGCTGTGATGGATGGGAGGATGCTGAGTGACTGTGCTGGGACATTTCTGCCAGCAGACAGATACTTGTAACCTACCAGGACCACACTGTCCTTTTCCTTGCTCCAAATCCTGGGTGAATGACTCCCCACTATTAATACGAAAATATTTGCTGTTTTATTTCCCAGCAGATCCCTGACAGATCTGTGAGGCTTTCTTTATAGCCTTGCTCATGGTAGTAAATCCTTAAACAAGGGAGAAAATATAAATATTTCCATTTTTCACCTTGCTTTCTTTTTCCCCTCCCAGTGGGAATTACATTGCCCTGTCACAACCCCAGAATTTCTCATTTGTATCTTCCCTGGTCTGAAAATGTACCGGATGCTGTGCTAAGCCACAAAATCCTACTTGGAGGAGTGTAGGAATTAAATCAGTGTCAGGAGGGGTGATTATCACCTTGATCCGCCAGCGAGTGCTTCTGCCACTTGGGGGAAGCTGCTCGTGCCTTGCCTCAGCCCGACAAATTTTGGTGCTTAAATAGCTGTAAATTACATCCCAAGGCACAGATCTGGAATTCTCCTCCCTGTATCCAAAGCTGGGCTAATGCCTTGCTTCCCAAAGGGAAATAAAAGGGATTTTTTTTTACTGGCTCGATTTGTGAGGTTCCTGCTGTTGGTTCTGGCTCCCAGCACCTGCTCACAGCCTAAGAGTTATTCATGGCATAGCATCCCCAGAAGGCAAAGTTTGGAATTCTGTATAAATTGTCAGGATGACACCCCCAGAAAATAAAAGAGAAAAAAATACCCACCCCCACCCCCAAATCTTGTACCCCTGAGAAAGATTTCCCCACAGTATTCCAATTTTAAAAGTTTAAATAAAATCTAGTTAATTTTAGATAACACAGACCCCATTGCTGAAAAAAGGGGGAATTCTGATCTCTGCATTGTAGGAGAAGCTCTGAGCACCTGGACAACACAAAGAAGCTGGTGGGGATGGAATTTCCCTTGGATAAGCATGGATGTCACTACTGACCACCAGTGTCCAGCCCTAGGATCCTTCTCAGAGCTACAGGTGCTGTAGTTGTTTTAGAAATAAAGAAACAACTTCTGTTTTCCCTCAGAAAATTGGGAGAAAATGTTCCTCTAAAAAGCACATGACCCTAATGAATATCAGGAACAGAACTGACAGACTTTGCAATAAAAGTGAGGCAGTGAAATAATAACAGTGTCTTAAACAGGATTAAAATATAACATTTTACTTGTTATTTCAAAGAATAGATTTCTTTTTTTTTTCTTTCTTCCATCAGTCTTATCTGCATGTCCAGCCTCCAGCTTAACTCCAACTTTTAGTGCCAGTCCCAAGTGCAAATATTTCAGGAAAAAGGAATTAGGGAAAAGAAACATCTTTTTGTTTGTTTTTTCCCACATGTGAGAGGCTACAGTGCATTTCTCATGCCTGAAAACAAGCACCATTGCTCGAAATATTTGGTCAGAAACCTCAGCTTGAGAAGGAGGTATTGGACAGAGAAGTCAAATCAACACCACATGCAGTCAGCTCCCAAAGACAAATATTCCCAGGGATCTGCTGGGGGAGAACCTGGGCAAAGGGAAAACCAACCCAACCACAGCAGTACAAAGTCCTTTTACTGCCAGAGCAGGTCCATCTCCATGCCCAGACCTCGTGGTGAGGCCTCAGCTGTGGAATGGGGAGAGAATGGTGATGCCAATCTCTCCCTTGCCAATTACACACATTTATCTGTTGGCTCTTCCAATCTTTCCAGAGGAATCCAGGTTGTTCACACAATTGGTTTGATTTTACCCCAAAAAAAGTCTGCACAACACAACAGGACACTTTTCTCATGTGAATGTGGTTCCGCTTTTTTCTTTTGCTGCTTCATACTGGAGAAAACCACTTTTCTTTGTCTTTTTTGGGTGTTGTGACAACGAACAGTGAAAATTCTCAACTCCATGCCCAAGCTGTGACAACACACTCAAAACTTCGAGGTAAAACCAGAAATTGTAACCAGGTGCCTGAATTTATGTCATGTAATTCACAGGTAATGAGTACTAAAAGTTTCTGAAACAACTCTGTGTGCATGTCCTGAGACCCTTTGACCTTCCCAGATCTGTGGACGTTCACCTCATAAAATACTCCCTTTTTCTCCTCTTCCCTGTGGGATCCATTTGTCTTTTCAGCACGTTTGTGTTCGAAGTTACCAAAGTGGAATGGTGATGGCACCACTTAACCCACCAGCCAGCTGGGCTTGGGAATGGATCCATCCTCTTCCCATTAATCCCTCTTTAGTGCCTCCCACTATCACACGCTCATGGATCATCCTGCTTTATTCCAGAGGAACACAGCCATAGGATGACAATTAGTGATAGAGCATAAAAGCTGGAGCTAAAGACCATGGAAAGAAGGAAACAGAACTGATGTGAGAAGAGATGAAAAGATGAAAAATTGACGAGAGAAGAAAACTGGAACGAGCTAATTTACAAAAGAAAATGAACAAACCACAGCCAGGTAGCTCTGAAGAAGATTAATTGCTACACATTCCCTTCCTCTTTGCAATTTTTATCTTATTTCAGCTTCTCTTGCACTTTCCTAAGTAGCAGTGCTGTAAGCGCAGGAACTTTGATTCCATAACTTTGCCAGCTGGGCGTTGTTTGCATAAATTGCCCTGACTTTGGAATTGGAACTCAAATTCCAGCAGCAGCCGAGGATTTGCTCCATTGATTTGGATGGGTTTATTTTTAATTTATTACTCTGAGGTCAGAAGGCAGAGCTCCGGATATAAATCTTGAACATAAATAGACAATTCCCAAAACTAGACAGTAGAGCCACAAGTACCATACAGAAAAACAAACCCAGGCAGGTATAGAACCGTCTGGAGGGTTAAACCAAAGGGAACTGTGCATTTATTAGTAGTTTACTGTTTATTAAACAAGAACTCCAGATCCAAAAAGAACTCATTAATTGAAACCAAGTAGTGTTTAGTGAAATGGGAGCCTGTCAGAACTGGGTTGGGGAATGGGTCGGTCCAAATGCGAGTGCAAATTTTGTCTGGGAATTTTAAAGCGTGCCGTTTGTCGTGGACAACGGATGTGCACCATACAAACTCCGTACATCTGCCCCTGGGTGACAATAAAAAGCGCAGTTTATTATAAACCGAAGTAAAAATGAAAATAAAAAAATCAACTAAAATCACAGTTTTGTCATTGGTATGTGGAGGTTGTTCCAAGGGCCCATCCAGAGCTCCTCCTCATCGGACTGTGTGTGTTCACTGTGCGACTCCAAGGGCTCCTTGACTTCCTCGTGGTCAACAACTGATTCCTGCTCATCTGTGCTTTTCAGTTTGGCCGCCCCGGCCTTTGTCACTGCATTTTTGCCCCCTATAGTAGAGGAAAAGGACACACTGCACGGCCTGGAGTTCATTTTGTCACTCGGGGATGGTCCCTTGGACAACGTGTTCAGTGGGACGCTCTCCTCGTGTGTCACCGCCAGCTTGTCCAGTTTCTTGAACTGCTTCCCCAGCCTCACCGGGGACGTGACTTTTAAGTTATTGCCGAGGCAGCCGCGGCGGGTGCGGACCACGGAGCCGTTCTGGGCGACGTAGATGTTGCTGTTGCCGTTGGCCTGGAAGCCAGGGTTGCTCAGCCGGTTCCTCTGGCTGGGGTCAGGAGCGCTCTCCTCGCCCGTGGAGCTGGTCTCGTACTCCGGGTCCACTACCAACTTGATCCTCTTCTTTTTGGCCCACTGTTGGACAACAAAAAGAAATGTCAGGGCAACCCAGCACTGTTTTGTCATTTCCCTGCCCTTTCTGTTCATTGATTAATAGCTCTCATCAATTCTTATGAATTTTGCATCTTTCCCCTTGGGATGTGTGCAGAAACTGGAGGGCCCTGAGAAGGAAGCTACTGTGTGAGAGATACCTTCAAGAAAAGATTCCGAAGTGTAAATTCTAGGAAGGCCTTGGAAGTTTTTTTTCCCTTGCATTGTGAATTCCGTACACTGGGCAGCTTTGCTTTGTGTGCATCACACATCCAGCAGAGAAAATCCCGGGACATACACCAGGGAAAATCTCAGGCACAGTGCTGGCAAAACTGTCTGGTTACAAAAGAGAACAGCTTCATGTAAGGCTTTGTGACTGTTCCAGACAGGTGGGATCAGTGGAAATGCTCAGGAAGATGCTGGAGAAAGCAGGCTTTAGGTTTATATATAACTTACATATTTTTTAAAAAAATTAATGCAAACAATTTCCACACTGCTGTGACTTTGTAGCAGCAGTGATTCCTCTATGGTGAGCACACAACCCCCACTAGTTATTATAATTTATAATTGATCTTTTAAAAATAAATGCCTCCTTGCAGCACACTGAAAAGAGCTATTACCCTTCTTGAATGAATAATGCAAACACTAAGATGCCATCACATTTAACAGCCACTGCAAAACACACACAGGAATGTGAGAAAAGCCAGTTTTTAGAGAGAGAAAATCATACAAGGTACAAATAGGTGATTAGTCTTCAGCTTTTGAGAAGTTACACTTGGTAAAAATTACTAAGATGACTATTTTATTGTTCCTGGCAAAGACAGGCAATGTTCTTTACATGAATATATTCCATATATTATATGAATATATAGTTTAAGTGGGATTTACATTAAAACATTGTGTGCAGCTACGACGTGTGGGGGAACAACGGGGCAGCTAAGTGACCATGGATTAAGTTCAAAGAGATGTTAGAATAAAATAGAATAAAATAGAATAAAATAGAATAAAATAGAATAAAATAGAATAAAATAGAATAAAATAGAATAGAATAAAATAAAATAAAATAAAATAAAATAAAATAAAATAAAATAAAATAAAATAGAATAAAATAAAGCCACTGTACTGTGATAGACAGGAAAGGCAGAGGTTGGGAAATGTAAACCATTTCCTTTCCTGACCCAGCTCACTCCTGCCTCAGCATTTTTGGCTTGTGCATCATTGGTGTCTGCAACCTGAATCTGTGATCCAGAAACAGCCCAATCCCAGCTCTCCCAGTTATCCCCTGCAATTTTGGGAATGTTGTTTTGTTGCAGCTCCACTTGTCCTCCCTGCAAACAGAGCTGACCTTGACAGCAGAGAACTCACCTGAAGATTAGCAAATGTATTAATACAATATTAATGTATAAAATGAAAACATGGATGATTTTTAAATCTTTACATCCTCCCCCTTTTCCACAGTTCTCTCCCAAGGACAGTGAAAAGCCGGATCATTACGCTTTGCCCTTTCCTTTTGGCTGTCTCCAGCTCATCAGTATTGCTTAGGAAAGACCACACAGAAGGCACAGCAAACAAAGCCACTCCTCACTGCAAACCACCACCTACTGTCACTCCTCTTTAAAAGGAGGTGGAATCACCCGTGGCCTCTGGCTCCGTAATTCCAGTACCCAAGGGCTCATCTGACTTGGCCTGGCTGCTTTCCTGGGACACCTTTTTCCTTGTTTTCATTCCTTTCCTGTTGGTGTCAGAGCTCTGAGTCTCAGTCTCAGGGGATGTGGCAGTTTTCCCAGACACGGCACTACCTGAGCTTTTTGTCCCTGTGGTACCTTTGGAAGTTGCACTGTCTAGGCAAGAAGATTCATTCTTACTGGTAGTGTCTCTGTCACTGTCCTCTGGATCAACCTCTTCCTCACTTTCCTCCTCGCTGTCCTCACCAGGAGCAGCTGAGTGTCCTCCCTTGCCCTTTCCAGCAGCTTTTGCATCGGCAGTTTTAGAAACTGCCTTGTTTGAGTTATCTGCTGTCTCCTCTGCCTCTTCCTCTTCTTCTGACACCTCTTCTATGGTGTCCTCTATTTCCACACTGGCAGAGGAGGTTTTGCTCTTGTAGCTGGATCCTGAGGTTTTCTTGTAGCTCGTATCCCTGTCACTACCTGAGGCAGTGGAGCTCACAGATTTCTGGCTGGAGCGTTTGCCACGGGAGCTGCCTGCCCTGCTTTTTACACTGGACATTTCTGTGCTTCTCCTGCTGCTGGACTCACTGGTCCCTGACCTGCTGTAGGAGCTCCGTGTGGATGAGCTCTTGGACAGGCTGCCGTCCTCATCGCTCTCAGAGTCTTCCTCATCATCATCCTCTTCCGATGAGTCCTCCTCTGACTCACTGCTGGAGCTGGATTCAGAGTCCTCATCAGAATCCTCCAAATCCCCAGTTTCCTCATCTGAGTCCACGGTGCTTTCTGTGGCCTCGTCCTGATCCAGGGTTATTTTCAAGTAGTCTTTGTCTTCTGACTCAGAGCCGGAGCTGCTGCTCTTCTCAGAGGACTCATCCGAGGTGCGCCTCCTCCTCTTCTTCCTCCTCTTCTCATAGTCACTGTCCTCCTGCTCACTCTCTGCCGTGATACTGATTGAAACTCCCGACTTGGCTTCATCCCTTTCAGACCCTTCCTCTCCACGTGCCTTGTCAAGGCCCTCCTGTAATTTCCTGGAGACGCTGATGCGCTTCAACACGTGGTTTAGTTTTCTCATGGAGGGCCTGTCATCTGTGGATTTCTGGAAGTAGCTTCCCCTGATCATCATGGGTTTGTCCCCGTCTGCTTGGCGAGCTGACAGCAGCTTGGCATAGCTGGAATCTTTCCTGCCTTTTACTTTCTGCAGGATCATTGGGAATATCTTTGCTTTCTTCCACCGGGAACGGGCAGACTCAGCTCTTCCTACGGGTTTGTGGGCACTGACTGCCACACGACTTAAATTCATCACTGCCTTTATCCTCCTTTTTCCCTGGCTGCTCCTAAATCCTCTTCCAGGACCCTGGCTGAGATCCATCCCAACACCTACAGGTCTCCCTTCCATTTGAGGCCCTCTGCTGGGAGGGCCTCTGACTGGACTCATGCCCTGCAAATTATGAAAATTAATTGATTACCACTTGAAAGAGAGTTATTGTGAAAACCTGTACCTTAAAATAGGTTAAAAAAAGATGCAACATTTATTTCCCGGCATCAAAATGAACTTACCTGTCTTAGAACAGTTTTCTTACCAAAGTTATGGGAAACGTTTTTGAATTTTAGAAATGTAGAAAGTTCTAAAATAGGCTGGAAATGCACAACTACCTGACTCTGAAATGGAGAAAACAATGAAATGTTCTGTCTTCTCATTTAATAATGGATTAAGATTGGGCATTTATGAAAATTGGACATTTCTTTCTCAAAAGAAACACTTACATTGACTGTCTTCTTATTGCCACTGACATTTTAAATTTTTTTTAGATTTCATTGTCAACTTTAGGACAAATGAGTTCAGGTACTGCTTTGAAATCCATCATTTATAGGAAGAATGGTACTAATAGACTTGTACAGTCATGTGGTTTTAATTGGAAAGAACCTTAGAGCCCATCCAGTCCCACCCCCTGCCATGGGCAGGGACACCTTCCACTGTCCCAGGCTGCTCCAAGCCCCAAGTCCAACCTGGCCTTGGGCACTTCCAGGGATCCAGGGGCAGCCACAGCTGCTCTGGGCACCCTGTGCCAGGGCCTGCCCACCCTCCCAGGGAACAATTCCTTCCCAATATCCAACCTAAAGTTTCTCTTTTTCAGTCTTTAGCCATTCTTCTTGTCCTGTCACCTCAGTTCCTGCTGAAGAGTCCTCCAGCTCCCTTGTAGGCCCCTACAAATACTGGAAGGTTTCCTTATTTGGTAATGATAAAAAATGAAATTACCTAAGTGGATTTTTCTTTGAACTAAAAACAGATATGGATACTAACAGAAACTTGGCAATTCTTTTTTGTGCCTAGAAAACAAAAGGAATTTAATGCTGACAAACTTTACGGGTCACCAGAAGGGCCAAAATGCTTAACACTGATCTATAAAAATCCCAGTTCTAATCAGTTCCAGTGCACAACTGATGAGGTTTGGTGGCCCTTCAAGCTGTTAAAGGGACAGAATGATCCCTCCAGAGTTTGTTTCTTACCTCCTCTGCTGCTGGCCCGTGGGGACTGTAGTAGTAGCCACCATCACTCTCCACCACGACCTCGCCATACTCGTCGTACATGCCCGACGGGGACAGCAGGCGCCGGCGGCTCCCGTACTGCGGCAGCTCGTACCTGCCAGAGACACCACAGCTCCTCAGGATGGGCCTAGACGTGCTCACACCTCTCATCACACAGCCAGCAGTGCACATGCTCGCATCCAGAGGGATGGGAATGGCTTTCCTTGTTCTTCTCGCTCCTTTTTTTTCCCTTAGTGGCACCCAAATCCCAGACATCCTTCTGCTCCAACAGCCACAAGCCCCTTAGGGTAACCTGAATTTTGAGGTCTGTTGGATCAGTCAAGGGCTCTCTAAGTACATCAGCCTTCCTTCAATCCACCTGAATTTTTGGGGGGGATCTTTCTTGATAATCATGGAATGAAAGAGTAGCTTCTCTGGGATCAGTTCTGGAGAATGCCAGCAGTAATTCCTGAAGAGCCTGCAGTCCAATGGGCTTTATCAGAACAAGGTAGGATGGGGTTTCCTGAGGGAAATTCAAAAGGCCACCAGGCAGGATGGTGTTTTCTGAGGGAAATTTAGAAAGCCACATGGCAGAATAGTGTTTTTTGAGGGGAATTTAGAAGTCCAACAGCTGGCTGGAAACGGGGAGAAGAAAGGATTAATCCCTGAACTCATGAGGGGAGGAGGTGATAGAAATTAATCTCCCAGGAAGCACAAATACACACACAAAGGATATAAACCCAGCATGAGGAACGGGATTGTGCACTCTGTAAGTGGAATAATGACATTCCTGAAGAAGCAGGGAATTATCACACACCCCCCCTTAACCTCTGAAAAGAGTTTTGTTGTTGGTTCACGCCTTTGTGGACACAAAGATTAAAGTAATCCTGAGGTGAAGGGAAGTCCCACGATTAAGTGCTGGAATAATAAACATCACCAGCTTGGAAAAGCAGCACTTTCAGAAATAAAGAAGAAAAATGGAACTATACCCGTGCTCATAACTGTAGTAATCCTGGCCATAGTATTCCTGCCCTGGATCAATTCCAGACTCCATACTCAACTCCTGGAAAAGAGAAACACTGATTGAATGCAAACAGTGTGAAAAAGGCCCAAATGTAATTACTGATTTTATTATTCTTTATGATGTAATTACTTCTTCTGACTGCAGAAATGATCCCCATCCTGTAGCACAAAAATACCTACATCTCACATCTTTGCTCTTATTGCTTATTCTGGAAAAAAATTTTGGGCCTAAAAGATTGGAAATAGAAAGATTTGCAGTTGCACTGCACAGCAAGGTGCTAAAGCTTCCAACACCAACTGCTCAGCTCAGCTCCAGCTGCAGTAATCCATCAGCAGCTGACTTACACATGGGAAAATCAGATAGCAGTTGGAGAGCAATAGAACCATTGTGTCTGGAAATCTGAAACTGTGGGATGAAGCCGGTGGAAGCCACTGAAAGACAATCATGGGGAAAATCACAGATCCCAGAGTGGTTTGGAAGAGATCATAAAGCCCATCCAGTCCCACCTAGCCCAGGTTGCTCCAAGTCCCATCCAACCTGGCCTTGGAAGTACCAAGATGCAGTAAATTTAAGGTACTTAATTAAAGTAACATAACTGGGCTTACAATACCGGAACTTTGCTTTTTATCTAAGAACCGGGGGGGAAATTACCTGAGAGAGGCAAGTTCTTATTAGAAAATGATGTAAAATCCATTTCAAAACTTATAGAACAATTAAGAAATTAAAAATGGTGGTACCTCTGGTCTGAGAAGAGAAGGTCTCAGCAATTGCTGCTGCTACAAAAGGAAATGAGAAAGTGGTTAATTAGGCAGCAACAATTAAAGTGCAGGTGATTGGTGTCTAAGATTAGTACTAAATGCTGAAACCATAGGTCCTTTGGAACTTTTTTATGGCAGGCAGCTGGACACTTCCGTACCCTGTGAGAACACTGAGTACCTGACACAGTAAAATCCCTTCACAGTCCACCATTTCTTTTGCCTAAATATAAAATCAGCTTCCCATTTTTTGTGGTGAGTATCTGACATATTTAACTCAAGAACTTCTACCAGAGGACAAGAGAACTAAATCCTGTATTTAAATTGGGAGACACAAACCAGCTGTGCAGAGAGGAAAAAAACCAAAACCAGCAAATATCAACCTTTATGATAGAAAAGTATTTTGGAGAACTTTCCAATTATTGAGATTGTACTGAAGGAAACTCTTCTCCCTTATTCATTTCTGGAGATAATGATACTTCAGGAGCAGCAGGGAAGGTCCGTGGAGCCCCATCCCTGCCTGGCAGGTGATTGGGTGTGACACTGGAAAACACAGCGGGCGTGGAGAGAATTCCCTGGGAAGCTGCTTCTGGCAGCTGGTTAAACAGCAATCTCCCAGCCTGGAGGTCACACTCCTGCCACAATGGATCTCAGCACCCAGGGGATCTATGGCTCATAAACTTACTGAATCACTTTCAATCTCTGGTCTCTAAAGCACTCAGTACTCCTAAGTTCCACAACACACAATCCCAGAATGGTTTGGGTTGTGAGGGACCTTAAAACTCAGCTCATCCTACTCCCTGCTATGACAGGGACACTGTCCACTATCCCAGGGTCATCCAAGACCCATCCAGCCTGGCCTTGGACACTTCCAGGGGTCCAGGGGCAGCCACAGCTCCTCTGGGCACCCTGTGCCAGGACCCCACCACCCTCACAGTGAACAATTCCTTTTAAATATCCTACCTAAATTCCCCCTGTGTCAGTCTGAACCCATTCCCTGTGTCCTGTCACCCCAGTTCCCTATGCAGGGTCCCTCTCCAGCTTCCCTGTATCCCTTCAGGCCCTGGAAGGAGCTGTGAGGTCTCCACACACCCTTCCCTTCTCCAGGCTGAGCAGCCCCAGCTCTCCCAGCCTGGCTCCAGAGAGAGAGGTACTCCAGTCCCCTCAGAAACTTCATAGTCTCCTCTGGACCTACTCCAACAATTCCATTCCCTTCTTATTCTGGGAGAACCAGAACTGTGCACAGAATTCCACATGGGGTCTCACAAGATCAGGGCAGAAGGAAAAGCACATTCGTATCATCAATATTTTAAAGGTAATTGGGCATTGGCCTTACCTCCTGCTGTGCATATCCTCGCCTGGAAGTCAGAAAAAGAAAAGAAATAAATTAGTATAATGCTGTGAGCCTGCACAAAGATGCCCATTGCCATTCTTGCTGGAGAGGGGTGAAAGAGTATGTAATTAGAAATATAATTAGCATGGAAAGAAATACATATCTCTAATACCAAATATGTTTTTCTTTGTGCTTGCTCTGGACACAGGGATTGTTGCATGGGAAAGGCTGGAGAAGCTTTGGGATCTTTTCTTGCTTTAGATTGTGAATGGATGAGGAGAAATCCCCAAGAGCCAGAGAGCCAGAGCATCCAGAGAGACTCAGCACAGGGAAAGGGGGATTGGGAGAGGCCCTGCCCCATCCCCTCCCCACCATCCACAGAGGGACCCTGTTCCCTCACACGTCTGCTCAAGCAGTGGAACAACCTTTCCTACTCCTGGACTTTCTGTATCCATCAGAAATTGCCCTGGAGCTTGCATTACTAATTTCTTGTACCAACATTATCATTCCAATTACACCTTTCCTAACATTTGCTTATTGGGAGGGGAGGTAGATGCCTTTTTTTTTTTTTTTTTTTTTTGCTATCTGCAGTTATTTTGCCACAGGCTTTGTTCTTCTGATCTTATGGGGAATTTATTGTTGGTTTAATTAATTTTCTTAGAGCCATTCCTGGGCATGACCAATGTATTTATGTCTGTCAAGGTTTCTATTTCCACATTTTGTGGCCGAAAATTGAAATGGTTTAGTCAAAACTAGAGAACAAAAATTTAGACCTTGGAATTTTTCTTAAGGATGAGTCTGGATTATTTTTCTTATGGTTTTTAAGAAGGAAAGGGTAAATGCTCAAAATTATGTTAGGCTTAACCTAGCAGTCATGGGGAAGTCTTTAATTACACTAAATAAATAATAAAGATCAGAGAAATCCTTTTAATTCTTTAATATCTCCATCTCTAAATCTTCCTATTAATATTCAGCACATGGAATTGATTATCAGCATTGAATTAATGCTGTCGCCTATATAATATAAACCTCATGGCCAGCTGAAATGAAGATTTATCATCCAAAGATGATCTGTGACTTTTCAAAGCCCACTTGAGGAATGCTGGATTTACTTTCCATATTGCCTACAACAATCTTCCTATAAAGGAGGTCTGAGGAGGAGGAAGTCTATTAGTCTTAATTGCACTATATTGCAGATTAAAGGCACAATATGAGTAATTCCAATTAAATTTGGAATTCAACTTTCATAAAAATAGCAGTGTGATGAGTTTTGCTGATACTTCTTGAATAGTTTTGTGTGGCCATGATTAGAAGGAACAAAAAGTCCCCAAAAGACATAAAATACCCATTCACTCACTACAGCACAAGGATCTATTCTGGCACAAAGACAAAGGTCAGGACAACATCATTTGTTTCCAGGAAGGAATTAAAGCTGTCCACAGAGGGATGGATTGCTTCTGGGAAATGTTCTCAGCCGGACTTCACTGCAGTCTGGGAATCTTCTGTGTGAAATGGGAAGCAAGGCCATGGAGCCTGTGAGGATGTGGGGTAACTGGACAGCCAGAACACGGAGCTGGGACTTAAGGGGAGAGACAAAGCCAGAATGAACTCACATGGACAAGATGTGCCAACCTTTTACTGCTGAAAGATTAGAGGAACTGGGATTTGCCTAAAGCAGCATTTCTCCAATTCCTTGCACCCCAACAGGCGTTTGCTCTCCATAACTTAAATCTGTTTTCATAACAAAAGCAGAATCATCACAAATCCCAAGTACTACGTGTATTCCTCAGAGGGAGCAACTACTTATCAGTTTGCCCTGGCTCCTAAAATGAAGACTTTTCCTCCAGTTCAGAGCTGGAACTGAGAACAAATTGGGAAGGAGGATGAGTAATGATAACGCCATGGTTCAATTCCAGCTTTGCACGAAAGAGCTCTCCACTGATGCCATCTCTGCTCCTGCTCAGGACTTGGCCTCATCAAGCTGATGATGAAAGCATGAGAGATAAATACAGGGTCACAGGAGGACCCCAACTGACCAAGTCAGACAACCTGGGAGGGGTAAATCATATAAAAATATAAATTATTACAGATGTTCTACTTGCCACCAACTCCTACACTGGATCTAATCCTTTGTGGTGCTGCAGAACTGCAGTACCACAGAATTGTGGAATGGGTTGGGTTGGAAAGGACCTTTATGCTCATCCTCTTCCACCTCCACCCACTTTCCACTATCCCAGGTTGCTCCAAGCCCCTTCCAAATTGGCCTTGGACATTACCAGGGATCCAGGAGCAGCCACAGCTTCTCTGGGCACCCTGTGCCAGGGCCTGCCCACCCTCCCAGGGAACAATTCCTTCCTATCTAAATCTCTTCTCTTTTTGTTTTAAGCATTTTCCCCTGCAGCACCCAGATATCTCAATGGAACAGAATTTCCCTGGTACAGCTTCTTTCCCAGTCTAATAGAGCAATTTTTTAAACAAAACCTATTTCAAAAAGCCAGAAGGAGAAAAAATGTTGCATTATATCCAGACAAAATTCATCCAGTTTTGTAAAGTTTTCAAGTTGATAAAGATTTCCAGAATGACAAAGTAAATGTTCCTCATCAGTGAAGAGTTGATTGCCATGACCCCCTCCCAGACTGTTCTGAAATGATGAAATTAAATATTTAAAGTGGAACTTCTCTGTGATGTCCACTCTTTCTGCTTAAGGAATATCCCAATTAATTGTAGCCAAACTGAATCATTGGAGTTTATGCTGTGAACGACTAAACACCTCAATTTTTGCTATGTGACCTTACATACCACAAAATCAGGTCCTATTTGTGTCATATTTGACTGGGGATGTAAAGATCTGCACAACAGCAGCCATTTACAAGCTCTAACATGGGACTTGGGTACTAAAATTTAAATTTCTGTCTTTGGGGCTGACCCACTCTGAACATGAGCAGCCCAATAATTTTTCATGCCCATCTCAGCTCTCTTCCCACTGTCCCCTCATCAGGAGCATGGGTGGAACACAGAGGGGTACATTTAAGTCATATTACCTCTCTGGCTCTTCAATCCTAAAAATTCTCCACCTAACAGGTGCTGAGCTTTGGAAATATTATTAAAACATTGCAGTTGTGCCATCTTTGGAGAACTGAGCATCAAAAATGTGCACATCTCATAAATGACACAGATTCTGTTACAGCAAAAATAGGACAACAGGATAATCCCTCCCCTCACACATTTAGCTACTCCTACAACTACCTTAATTCTACAACCTATCCCAACAAGGGTTTTAAATAAAGGAAAATTCTAATGGTCATCAGAACTTGTGGGATGGAGTTCATGGAGTTTGCACTAGGAGAAAGAAAGAGAAACTACCTTGAGCAGTTTTTGACTGAAGCATCCACACATGTCCTAACTGCAGACTTAAAAAAACCCAACAAACAAACAAAAACAAAGAGAAAAGAGAAAAAGCCAAGCACCATGGAAATGATGAGTCTGATAAACAGTCTGATAAAGAATTAATTACCTTTTTGCTCTGAATTACAGCCTTGATACTGAACTGGAATTTTAGTTTCGCTTCATTAGGTAATATCTGCCTTTCCCAATATGGTTTTTCAAAATTGTCATATTAAACTTTTTAGATTTTGGCAAAGGACTGAAAAGAAACTTGCAAGTTGAACCAAACATTTAAATGCCTAAACTGCTTTTACTTACCATTTTTTCAAAAGACAAGCTAATTTACTTTATATATACATTTGTAATTTACATATTTATGTAAATGTAAAGATCTGATTTAGATGACTGCGAGCATAAAAGATGGTAAGTAAATCCACATTATGTGGATTTTTACAAGTACTTGGAAACCCTTCACCTGGTGACACTAATCAGAGTGACTTTATTACAATTTAATTGAGATGTTTCAGCTTGTGACAGACCAGCATGAAAATTAAAGAAAGAGAGAAACAACATGCACATGGAAAATCATAAAAAACAAGCAACAAATGCTTTGTACATGAAAGGAATTTACAAAATAGAAACTTTTCACATGCAGTTACAATATAAAAAAGAAAATGCAATGGAAGGCAGAAGATGGAGAACAAGAGTGGGGACACAGCCACGTTTGCTGAGAAAACTAGAGCAAACCCTTCTTCTGACTGGAGACAGGAACTGAGCTGCCAGAAAATGCCAGCAGAGCAGAGCCCATGGAGCAGGGAGATGCAGTATGGAATTATGGAATGCCTGGGTTGGAAGGGACCTTAAAGCTCATCCCATGGGCAGGGCCACCATCCCAGGTTTCTCAAGGCCCGTCCAATAACCTGGCTCACCGAAGCTGAGCCTGCTACTCCCAGGCCTTCCTTGCTTTGATGCTCAATATGTGGCAGAAGATTCCTTCCAGGTGGGGTGTTTTATGGGCAAAGCAAGAGATTCCAATCACAGCTGCAGAAAAATCTGACTGATGTTACCTACGGTGAAGGCTGCTTAAAGAAGTATTGAGCCAGCCACCATCTATGCCACATCCTTGAGTAAAAATGGACAGTTTCCCCCAAGAACTTCCAGGAAACAGACTAAGAACCAGAAAGATGTAGTTCTGAGAAAAAGACTTGGAGAATTATATTCTACATCACAAATTTCTGAGTGAACAGGAAGGACAATGTCTCTCCATTTGGGATCGGGAGTGGGTAAGTTGTGTACAGCAGAGAAAAGGGGGAAAGTCAGGACTTCTGGAGAGTCTGAGGAAGAAACTGTGTGCTGCATTAGAGTCCTCCCACTCAAAAAAAGCAGGGAACATCCACCCGTGAGCATTACAGAGCTGTCGATTGGGAGGGGAAGCGTTTCTCCAGCTCCTCCACAACGCAGCTCAAGTTCCCGTTCTGCTGGTTGTGCTCAGCTGCGGCTTCTGGAGCTGGGAGCTCCGGGGTCGGGGCTGGTTTCAGCTTGGGGACGTGCTTGGGCAGCAGGTGGTTCTTGTCTATTTGGCTGTACATGTTGGCCACCGACTTCTCAATGGCAGCCAAATTCTGAATGTTTTTAAGAATT